CCCGATTGGCCCACATTTGCCGCGGGTTTGGGCGGAACGTAGACTTTGATGTCTGGTTTCTTGCCATTGCTATTATTGGCGCCTTTATTGCCATTATTAGACTTGTGATCACTTCTGGGATCCGATGTCGGCTTCGCGTCCGCGACCAACTCGTGCCGCACGTCTTCGCTTTGCACTGAAACAGCAATGAATTCGCATCAATGGTCACCAAAAACAGATCCCAAAGCAGGCAATAGTGAGCGGCAATGAGTGGATGTCTTACCGCCGATGGTGTCTCCGTTGTCGCCTTTCTTGGCGGCCAAAATCTTGCCCATCCCTGGCTTATAGCGAGCCATCTCTGGCCGCTTCCGGTGCTGCGGACCCGAGGGCTGACCCGACGGTGACTTTGCGTCCATTTTGGCGCTCAGTTTTGGCGATAATTTTGTTTACCGTTTGTTTGAATCAAATGATTTGAATTGCATTTGCGTTCAAAGCGTTTGCATTTGAGTAATAATAATGAAAAACAAATTATAGTTTGTATTAAATGTGTATTAATTTTGATAATTATATTTAATTGCGATTAAAAACGCGTGAAAATTGTTTTGCGTTTTTTATTATGACTTTTGTGTGAATGAAATAACTCTTTGAATGTTATGCTTGTTATTAGTAAACAAAACAAAAGACTTTTCGTGTCACATAAATTACGTCCAGTAATTCATTTTTGCCTGTGATTACGAGTACTGATAGAAAAGTTTGTAAATTGTGCGTTAATTTAGTTTTGATTTTGTTTATAATTGTTTCAAACTTGGTTTTGTAGTCTGTAATTAATAGCCTATTCATTTGATGTTGGTTTTTACTATTTAATTTAATTTATTTTGGTGCAATTGCTTGGTTTGTTGTTTGTTTGAACACCTGTATATATTTCCATCGACGTAATTAACTAGATCTATTCACCTTCAGTCTTTAGTAAATTACCAAGACACAATTTTTTTACCTCAAACTTAATAGATTTAATTTTATGATAAATTATACAGTTTTTTATTTACAAAAATATTTGCTTTATAATTTTTATGTATTTTTATAATTATATATTTAATAACAAAAATATATAATTGAATCAAACTTTTATATTATTAAATTAACAGCTATTAAACAAATTGACCCTGGCGCATATTTAGCGCCAATTAATATCGTGATTAACTTTCTGGACGTACCACTCGGGCACCACACGAAAGGCCTGGCAGTAGTCGCGCACCCAATGGCACCGGATATCCACACCGGGGCTGAAGTCAAACTCGTAGACCAGTCGCGGGTCATCGCAGGTGACCGTCCGCTTGACGTACGCCAGAAAGCTGTCCAAAAAGTTGAGACAAACGTCGGTCGACCAGAATCTGTCCAGAATA